CCTTTGATGCGGTGAAGTTGTCCTGTCCCCTTAGCAGAAAAACTCCCCCAAAGTATAATGTTTCCACCTCCATGTTTGACGGTGGGGATGGTGTTCTTGGGGTCATCGGCAGCATTCCTCCTCCTCCAAACACGGCGAGTTGAGTTGATGCCAAAGAGCTCGATTTTGGTCTCATCTGACCACAACACTTTCACCCAGTTCTCCTCTGAATCATTCAGATGTTCATTGGCAAACTTCAGACGGCCCTGTATATGTGCTTTCTTGAGCAGGGGGACCTTGCGGGCGCTGCAATTGTTTTCTTGGTGACTATGGTCCCAGCTGCCTTGAGATCATTGACAAGATCCTCCTGTGTAGTTCTGGGCTGATTCCTTACCGTTCTCATGATCATTGCAACTCCATAAGGTGATATCTTATCTAAGGCCGAGGGAGATTGACAGTTATTTTGTGTTTCTTCCATTTGCGAATAATTGCACCAACTGTTGTCACCTTCTCACCAAGCTGCTTGGCGATGGTCTTGTAGCCCATTTCAGCCTTGTGTAGGTCTACAATCTTGTCCCTGACATCCTTGGAAGCTATTTGGTCTTGGCCATGGTGGAGAGTTTGGAATCTGATTGATTGATTGCTTCTGTGAACAGGTGTCTTTTATACAGGTAACAAGCTGAGATTAGGAGCACTCCCTTTAAGAGTGTGCTCCTAATCTCAGCTCGTTACCTGTTTAAAAGACACCTGGGAGCCAGAAATCTTTCTGATTGAGAGGGGGTCAAATACTTATTTCCCTCATTAAAATGCAAATCAATTTATATATTTTTGATGTGTTTTTCTGGATTTTTTTGTTGTTATTCTGTCTCTCACTGTTCAAATAAACCTACCATTAAAATTATAGACTGATCATTTCTTTGTCAGTGGGCAAACGTACAAAATCAGCAGGGGATCAAATACTTTTTTCCCTCACTGTAACGATGGTCGTTATGGCCAAACAGTTATATTTTTGTTTCATCAGACGAGAGGTCATTTCTCCAAAAAGTACAATCTTTGTCCCCATGTGCAGTTGCAAACCGTAGTCTGGCTTTTTTATGGCGGTTTTGGAGCAGTGGCTTCTTCCTTGCTGAGTGGCCTTTCAGGTTATGTCGATATAGGACTTGTTTTACTGTGGATATAGATACTTTTGTACCTGTTTCCTCCAGCATCTTCACAAGGTCCTTTGCTGTTGTTCTGGGATTGATTTGCACTTTTCGCACCAAAGTACGTTCATCTCTAGGAGACAGAACGCTTTCTCCTTCCTGAGCGGTATGACGGCTGCGTGGTCCCATGGTGTTTATACTTGCGTAGTATAAGATGAACGTGGTACTTTCAGGCGTTTGGAAATTGCTCCCATGGATGAACCAGACTTGTGGAGGTCTACAAATTATTTTCTGAGGTCTTGGCTGATTTATTTTGATTTTCCCATGATGTCAAGCAAAGAGGCACTGAGTTTGAAGGTAGGCCTTGAAATACATCCACAGGTACACCTCCAATTGACTCAAATGATGTCAATTAGCCTATCAGAAGCTTCTAAAGCCATGACATCATTTTCTGGAATTTTCCAAGCTGTTTAAAGGCACAGTCAACTTCTGACCCACTGGAATTGTGATACAGTGAATTATAAGTGAAACAATCTGTCTGTAAACAATTGTTGGAAAAATTACTTGTGTCATGCACAAAGTAGATGTCCTAACCGACTTGCCAAAACTATAGATTGTTAATAAGAAATTTGTAGAGTGGTTGAAAAACAAGTTTTAATGACTCCAACCTAAGTGTATGTAAACTTTCCAACTTCAACTGTATACACCTGTTCTGAAAGGCCCCAGAGTCTGCAACACCACTAAGCAAGGGGCACCACCACGCAAGCGGCACCATGAAGACCAAGGAGCTCTCCAAACAGGTCAGGGACAACGTTGTGGAGAAGTACAGATCAGGGTTGGGTTATAAAGAAATATCTGAAACTTTGAACATCCCACAGAGCACCATTAAATCCATTATTAAAAAATGTAAAGAATATGGCACCACAACAAACCTGCCAAGAGAGGGCCACCCACCAAAACTCATGGACCAGGCAAGGAGAGCATTAATCAGAGAGGCAACAAAGAGACCAAAAATAACACTGAAGGAGCTGCAAAGCTCCACAGCGGAGATTGGAGTATCTGTCCATAGGACCACTTTAAGCCGTACACTCCACAGAGCTGGGCTTTACGGAAGAGTGGCCAGAAAGGCATGTGGGAGACTCCCCAAACATATGGAAGAAGGTACTCTGGTCAGATGAGACTAAAATTTAGCTTTTTGGCCATCAAGGCAAATGTCTGGCTCAAACCCAACACCTCTCATCACCCCAAGAACACCATCCCCACAGTGAAGCATGGTGGTGGTAGCATCATGCTGTGGGGATGTTTTTCATCGCCAGGGACTGGGAAACTGGTCAGAATTGAAGGAATGATGGATGGCGCTAAATACAGGAAAATTCTTGAGGGAAATCTGTTTCAGTCTTCCAGAGATTTGAGACTGGGACGGAGGTTCACCTTCCAGCAGGACAATGACCTTAAGCATAATGCTAAAGCAACACTCGAGTGGTTTAAGGGGAAACATTTAAATGTCTTGGAATGGCCTAGTCAAAGCCCAGACCTCAATCCAATTGAGAATCTGTGATATGACTTAAAGATTGCTGTACACCAGCGGAACCCATCCAACTTGAAGGAGCTGGAGCAGTTTTGCCTTGAAGAATGGGCAAAAATCCCAGTGGCTAGATGTGCCAAGCTTATAGAGACATACCCCAAGAGACTTGCAGCTGTAATTGCTGCAAAAGGTGGTTCTACAAAGTATTGAATAGTTATCCAAGCTCAAGTTTTCTGTTTTTTTGTATTTTTTCTTGTTTGTTTAACAATAAAACATATTTTGCATCTTTTACATTTACATTTTAGTCATTTAGCAGAAGCTCTTATCCAGAGTGCATACAATTTTTATTTATTTATTTATTTATTTTATACTGGCCCCCCGTGGGAAACGAACCAACAACCCTGGGATTGCAAACGCCATGCTCTACCAACTGAGCTACACGGGACCACTTCAAAGTGGTAGGCATGTTATGTAAATCAAATGATACAAACCCCCAAATAATCTATTTTAATTCCAGGTTGTAAGGCAACAAAATAGGAAAAATGCCAAGGGGGGTGAATACTTTCGCAAGCCACTGTAAGGTTGATGATCTAGTTAACATAAAGACCGTACAAACAAATATGCCTTACAGTTTTTTAATGCAATTCAAATGGTTGCATCTGTGTTTTGTTACTCTTTCATGCAAATAAATATTTGTTAAAAAGATAATAATTGCTTTGCGATTTTTGATGACTTACATTTGTAATTTCAAGAAATAAATATTTAAATGCATAATAGAAAAAAAGCTATATACACTGCTCAAAAAAATAAAGGGAACACTTAAACAACACAATGTAACTCCAAGTCAATCACACTTCTGTGAAATCAAACTGTCCACTTAGGAAGCAACACTGATTGACAATACATTTCACATGCTGTTGTGCAAATGGAATAGACAACAGGTGGAAATTATAGGCAATTAGCAAGACACCCCCAATAAAGGACTGGTTTTGCAGGTGGTGACCACAGACCACTTCTCAGTTCCTATGCTTCCTGGCTGATGTTTTGGTCACTTTTGAATGCTGGCGGTGCTTTCACTCTAGTGGTAGCATGAGACGGAGTCTACAACCCACACAAGTGGCTCAGGTAGTGCAGCTCATCCAGGATGGCACATCAATGCGAGCTGTGGCAAGAAGGTTTGCTGTGTCTGTTAGCGTAGTGTCCAGAGCATGGAGGCGCTACCAGGAGACAGGCCAGTACATCAGGAGACGTGGAGGAGGCCGTAGGAGGGCAACAACCCAGCAGCAGGACTGCTACCTCCGCCTTTGTGCAAGGAGGAGCAGGAGGAGCACTGCCAGAGCCCTGCAAAATGACCTCCAGCAGGCCACAAATGTGCATGTGTCTGCTCAAACGGTCAGAAAGACTCCATGAGGGTGGTATGAGGGCCCGACGTCCACAGGTGGGGGTTGTGCTTACAGCCCAACACCGTGCAGGACGTTTGCCATTTGCCAGAGAACACCAAGATTGGGAAATTCGCCACTGGCGCCCTGTGCTCTTCACAGATGAAAGCAGGTTCACACTGAGCACGTGACAGACGTGACAGAGTCTGGAGACGCCGTGGAGAACGTTCTGCTGCCTGCAACATCCTCCAGCATGACCAGTTTGGCGGTGGGTCAGTCATGGTGTGGGGTGGCATTTCTTTGGGGGGCCGCACAGCCCTCCATGTGCTCGCCAGAGTTAGCCTGACTGCCATTAGGTACCGAGATGAGATCCTCAGACCCCTTGTGAGACCATATGCTGGTGCGGTTGGCCCTGGGTTCCTCCTAATGCAAGACAATGCTAGACCTCATGTGGCTGGAGTGTGTCAGCAGTTCCTGCAAGAGGAAGGCATTGATGCTATGGACTGGCCCGCCCGTTCCCCAGACCTGAATCCAATTGAGCACATCTGGGACATCATGTCTCGCTCCATCCACCAACGCCACGTTGCTCCACAGACTGTCCAGGAGTTGGCGGATGCTTTAGTCCAGGTCTGGGAGGAGATCCCTCAGGAGACCATCCGCCACCTGATCAGGAGCATGCCCAGGCGTTGTAGGGAGTCATACAGGCACGTGGAGGCCACACACCCTACTGAGCCTCATTTTGACTTGTTTTAAGGACATTACATCAAAGTTGGATCAGCCTGTAGTGTGGTTTTCCACTTTAATTTTGAGGGTGACTCCAAATCCAGACCTCCATGGGTTGATACATTTGATTTCCATTGATCATTTTTGTGTGATTTTGTTGTCAGCACATTCAACTATGTAAAGAAAAAAGTATTTAATAAGATTATTTTATTCATTCAGATCTAGGATGTGTTATTTTAGTGTTCCCTTAATTTTTTTGAGCAGTGTATTATAACATATTATTCAGTTAGGGACAAAAACTGGATAATGTCAATCTTAGGTAATAATGGATATAGTATAGGTGAAAATATAATCATATTATTAAATCATTTCACATAAACAAATTGTCCTACTGTATGCTCTGTTCTTTTTTTTAACAGAACAAGAACAGGGTAGTGTTGGTAAAAGAAGAAGCAAAGCACTCTAATACATTGTACTGTAAATTCCCATCAATAATGTCTGGTATGACAGAGTGCTACCAATTTAGTACTGGGGTACATTTCAACATGAGAAGCACCAAGGATATTAACCCAAAGTGTACCTACTGTTTAGGCTTCCTCTGTGTACTTTTTGTTGGTGAACTGTGCATTGATAAGGGGTTCAAAGCCACGTTTCCTGCGCTGTTGCAAGTAGAGGACCAAGATGAGTAGAAGAACCAGGAGACCCATGAAAACACCACCCAGAGTGGACCCCAGCACAAACACAAATCCACCGTCTGTGGCTGAGGAAGGGATATAAGAAGAGAGATTTAATGTAAACAAGACCTTTATGAGAGCTTTCTTATTTCATTGACCTGCTAATAAAAAAAGAAAAAGTTGATGACGATTAATTTTATTGCAAAGATGACTGTGAAATCACTAACCCTCCAGGTCAATGGCATAAGAATATCCCAATTGATCAGAAGCCACATAAATCTCTTCATTGGTCACAGGAGGGAAGAATGGCACCATGTTGTAATCTCTGTTGTGACCGATGGGGGCCATCTCATCGGGGAAACTGGAGTTTGATGGAACAGATTTCCTCATCCACTCATCAAAAATGGCATCAGTGAATGTATGAAGAACCTTTAAAGCGATAGAGAGTTATGTAATTTTAAAACATTTGGTAACACTTTAAATTAAGTTGCCAACACTACATTAAATTGCCCTTTATAACTATGTAACTACATAGTAATAACTGTAGTAACACTAAAGTAACAACATAGTTATTGCTATGCATTTATGTTGTAATAGGGTTTAGCGGTATCAGGTATTACACAATTGGAACAAGGACTGTGTAACTACAAATCCACTTGCTGAAGGTTATTCCACGTATATAATTATTAATGTTATTACACATTTTATTGGTACACTATGTAACTACTGTTTTGTAATTACACGTTTGAAAGTCATCTGTGAATTACCATGTTAATAAGGACCCAAACCAAAATATGACCTTGTTACACGTAACTACGCTGCCATCAAATCCAAGTGTAATTCCAGGGTTGATACCATCTTGATCTAATGACGTAAATAGGCTAGGACCTGAGAGGCTGTTACATACTAACTACATAGTAATGAAATGCATTATTACCTACTGGGTTTCACTTCACATTAAGTTGCTTGGTCATGGCTTGGTACATGATATTTACAAGTATATCCTATGCCACTACATTGTTCTTACATTACTTTTTATTTGGTATAACCTTAGAAGCAGGTAATAACACAGAAATACATGTATTTAAAATAACCAGTAGTTAATGACAGGGTGTGCCTTGTTACAATTGTTGTTACCAGGTCCTAGCCTATTTACATAATTACATCAAGATGGTATCAACCCTGGTATTACCTGTGGATTTGATGGTAGTGGCACTGTATAGTATAGTAACAAGGTCACATATTGGTTCACGTTATTAAAATGGTAATTCACAGGTGACATTCAAACGTGTAATTACAAAACTCTAGTTACATAGTGGAACAAGAAAATATTTAATAACATCTGTGGGATAACCTTCAGCAAGTGGATGTGTAATTACAAAGTCCTTGTTCCAATTGTGTAATAACTGATACCACTTCAATTCTATTATCATGTAATTACATAGTAACTACTATGTTGTTATTATGGTTATTGCTGTGTAGTTACATAGCAATAGGGAAAACTTAATGTAAAGTGATATCAAACATTTAGGCATCTTCTGCACAGAAAACTGACTAACTACAAAATAGTTTACTTTATCCCACATGACAGTCAAATACATTACTGAAATACATGGACTCATAAGCAATTGTACAAACTAGATCATTACTAGAAAGATGGGGTCATTGGCTGCAGAGTGAGACAGAGCACTGGTTCCATTGAGGAAGGAGTGGACCAGGTTGTGCAGGTTGTTCACTGAGGAGTCAAGCTCTGCCTCTCCATCTGGCTTGTCATAGCCTTCAAGAGCATTCCTGTATAGAAACAAATTACAGTTGGAAGTCAGAAACAATGCAATTTAGACAGTTTAGTGAACTTTACTTTATTGGATAATACCTTATGTGTAAAGTCCCAGGTCAGTGTCAATAGTTTAGGTCACCTGAAGCTGAAGGTAGAGTTAGTGTAGAAGGGAGCGTTGTCAAAGTCTCTGATGTTTAGACAGCTCCTGACATCATTCATGGTGGGCAGACTCATGTTGGTCCTCACGCCACCCATATGACCTCTCCTAATGCGTCCCTCACTGGTCCCATTACAGAGAGTGACCAGGCGGTTATATTCATCCAGGCTGGGGAGGGAAAAAAATTCAAGCAACATTTTAGGACAGTGAGTCTGGTACAAAATACATGATGAACATGTACCCAGTAGTATAAAAACCAGCGCACAAAGCATAAACAGCACAGGTATAGTACATACAGGGCTGGTTTCCCAGACATGGATGAAGCCTAGTCCTTGATTAAAAAGCACTTTCAATGAAAATTCTTAATTGAACATGTTTTTTAGTCCAGGACTAGGTTTAGGGCTAGATTCACTCAGAAAGACATCCACGTCTCGTTGTTTTGGCGGTGTCGAAGGTGGATCTGCGTTAGATCGGTCAAATCCACAAGTGGCTCGTTGCGTTATCGCAGAGACTGCCATTGGATGCAACAAAATCACACCCGACTATAATCCGACAAATCCCATGCACCCGCAAAGTACATGGAGCCGCGTTACAAATTAGACTCATAGGCATAAATCCCCCCAGCCAAATGAACATGAAAACATGCATTAGCCTAATCAGTGGCAACTCTACCTGTCTAGCTATAAAAAAAAAAAAAATATATATATATATATATATAATTGGCCTATTTTGCATGTGATTTTGGCACATATTTTTGGTTACATATCAGTTTGCAAACAATAAAATAAAAATAAAACGGCAGCTCCAAAATGCAGGCGTTTCAGCCTAGCTCAGTGCTTTCTGTGGTGGAGTGGCAAGCAGCAAAAGCATTAAAAGGTCATTTTCTCTAGTTGCGCTGTGATTGGCTCATTGTTCTGTCACTCACGGGGACACTACGTCGCCGCAGATTCTTCAGGGAGAGCTAGACAGTTCAAGCCCCCTTGGGAGCTGCCATAGATTTACATTGGAGTGCCCGTCCAAGAAGGCTCAAGGTCATTGGCCACAGATAAAATGACGTCTAATCATGTTATATCTACCGTAGCTTTGATTGGACTGATCATGTCAACATCATACTTAATACAAAATCTTAGGTAGCGAGCTAGCTAGACAAGCAGTCGCCATCATGAATCACGTTGACAATCTACTGGCAAGTCCTTTTCCATCCTTGTCATGTGAAGAGAAATTATAGATAAAACGTATTTGTGCTCTTCTGCTATTGGACATAAACATTGCACAACAAGTCGGAAATCTCAAATTCAACAATGTGTGGTTTGGAAGGAATCAGCAGCTCACTGCGATGCAAAGCAATCACTATTTTGCGTCCCCTGCCTGTTATTCGGTGGAGAGGGTGCGTTGTCCAAGTCTGGGTTTAAGGATTTAAAACATCTGTGTGGAAGGGTCTCTTTTCCAAGCTTAAAAGGATAAACATTCACACGCAGCACTATGGGCCAGAAAAGGTTGAATACATTGGCCATGCTGTCAATCCAGCATGACTTCTGCCGGGTTCAAAACAACTGGGAACTCAGAACTCAGAACTGGGAAATCTCTTACTTCGGTGCGTTCAAGACAACTGGGAATTCGGAAAAAAAGAGCTCCGACTGGGAAAATACATTTTCAACGGTCAGGAACTCGGGTCACTTTCTAGAGCTCCGACTTTCCGACCTGAAGATCACTGACGTCATGATTCGACCTAGTTTTTTTCAGAGTTCTCAGTTGTCTTGAAAGCACCATAAATCCAGAGAATGCAAGACTTTGATGACAAAGTTGGATGACAAAGTTTGCCCACAAGAAGGACTGCCGCGCCACCTTCCTGTTAACGTCTGTAGCCATGAGGTGATTTGAAAGGCTGGTCATGACTCACATCACACCATCATCCCAGAAATGCCTAGACCCACTCCAATTCGCATACCGCCCCAACAGATCCACAGATGATGCAATCTCTATTGCACTCCACATTGCCCTTTCCCACCTGGATAAAAGGAACACCTACGCTGTTCATTGACTACAGCGCAGCGTTCAACACCATATTGCCCTCAAAGCTCATCACTAAGCTAAGGACCCTTGGACTAAACACCTCCCTTGGTCCAAACACTCCAAGATAGTTGTGAAGAGGGCACAACAACCTCCCCCTCAGGAGACTGAAAAGATTTGGCATGGGTCCTCAGATCCTCAAAAATGTCTACAGCTGCACCATCGAGGGCATTCCTGACTGGTTGCATCACCGCCTGGTATGGCAATTGCTCGTCCTCCGACCGCAAGGCGCTACAGAGGGAAGTGCGTACGGCCCAGTACATCACTGGGACCAAGCTTCCTGCCATCCAGGACCTCTATACCAGGCGGTGTCAGAGGAAGGCCCTAAAAATGGCCAAAGACTACAACCACCCTAGTCATAGACTGTTCTCTCTGCTATCGCATGGCAAGCGGTACCAGAGTGCCAAGTCTAGGTCCAAAAGGCTTCTTAACAGCTTATACCCCAAAGTCATAAGACTGCTGAACAGCTAATCAAATGGCTACCCAGACTATTTGCATTGACCCCCCCCCCCCCCCACCTCAATTACCTCAACTAAACTGTACCCCCGCACATTGACCCGGTACCGGTACCCCCTTTATATAGCCCTGTTATTGTTATTTGATTGTTACTCTTTAATTTTTTTACTTTAGTTTATTTAGTAAATCTTTTCTTAACTCTTATTTTTCTTAAAACTGCATTGTTGGTGAAGGGCTTGTAAGTAAGCATGTGACAAATCCAATATGATTCGATTTTTTATTTGATTTGAAGTGAGCACAGCACAGCAACGGTGAGTCCAAAAATAGGCGTAAGTCTTGTATGCTGCTGCATAAATGAAGTAATATGCCAGGGTGATATGTATACTGTAGGTAAGAAAGTAATACTAAGTGTATGTTGTGTAGTAAACTGTAAGTAGCCCATTTGTCTCACCCTAAGAATTTGGTCCCTCTCCCCCTGAGAACTTCCCCAAAGCACACACATCCCTGGGTTGCTCCTCTTTTCAGTTCGCTGCAGCTAGCTACTGGAACGAGCTGCAAAAAACACTCAAACTGGACAGTTGTATCTCTATCTCTACATTCAAAGACTCAATCATGGACACTCTTACTGACACTTGTGGCTGCTTCACGTGATGTATTATTGTCTCTACCTTTATGCCTTTTGTGCTGTTGACTACGCCAAACAATGTTTGTACCATGTTTGTGCTGCTACCATGTTGTGCTGCTGCCATGTTGTCATGTTGTCACGGCCCATGTTCTGAATTCTGTCGCTGTCCATTACAAAAGTGCTGAACAAATAGTAATATCGTGCATCTGAGCTCGTTCATTAGTCTTCATCGAAATTACAGCTTGCCTCTTATCAGTAGCGGTGCATGGGCAAACCCCCCCCCCCCAAAAAAAAACTAAGCAATATTACAACCTATGTTTTGTGATATTTGCGTTGTTTTCAAATTAATGTTTCCAACATTTCCGGACCACTAAACAACTATTGATTTAGAACCACAGAGAGTTACTGGGGACTGTGAAGAGACACACAGGCACAGACACAGACACATACACATGATAAGTGTCACACTCTGGCTCTGGGGACTTTATATGTTGAGTCAGGGTGTGTAGATTCCGTGTGTTTATGTGCTGTGTTTGAGTGTCTAGTTGTTCTATGTCTATGTTGGCCAGAGTGGCTCCCAATCAGAGGCAACGAGTGTCAGCTGTTGTGGGTTGTCTCTGATTGGGAGCCATATTTAAACTGTATGTTTTCCCTTGGGTGTTGTGGGTTTTTGTTCCGTGTCGGTATTTGTTTACCGTGGACTTCACGAGTCGTGTTTTGTTTGGTATACTTTAACGATTAAAGTCATGTTTGTTTCACACGCTGCGCCTTGGTCTACTCACTCCTACGACGATCGTGACAGAAAAACCCACCGTAAAAGGACCAAGCAGCGTGTCCAGGAGCAGGCAGACTGGACATGGGAGGAAGCGCCAGGAAAGGAGATGGAGAGGCTGGCGATGGCCCAGGTGGGCAAAGTGTGGTCCTGGGAGGACATGCTCGGGGGCAAGGGACCTTGGGGTAGGATTAAAGCCCTGGCGAGAGAGGAGCAGCGGCGTCAGCAGTGCCATCGTCGGACGGACGAGAGGCACCCCCAAGAATGTTTTAGGGGGGGGGCACACGGCATGGGCGACTGGGCAGCAGGAGGCTGCCACAGGACGAAATGGGAGACGAGGAGAGAAGGCCACCGGGTTACGGGAGCCATTGGCGAGAGGAGGGAAGGAAGTTGTAGAGGCACGGCGAGAGGTACTGAGGTGTATTGCCAGTCCGGTCCGGCCCGTTCCTGATCCCCGTTTAAGGCCAGTAGTGTGTGTTCCCAGTATGGTCCGGCCTGTTCCTGCTCCATGCACCAAGCCTACGGTGTGCGTCGCCAGCCCAGTCCGGCCTGTCCCTGCTCCACGCACCAAGCCTACGGTGTGCGTCGCCAGCCCAGTCCGGCCTGTCCCTGCTCCACGCACCAAGCCTACGGTGTGCGTCGACAGCCCAGCCCGGCCTGTCCCTGCTCCACGCACCAAACCTACGGTGTGCGTCGCCAGCCCTGTCCGGCCTGTCCCTGCTCCACGCACCAAGCCTACGGTGTGCGTCGTCAGCCCTGCCCGGCCTGTTCCTGCTCCACGCACCAAGTCTACGGTGTGCGTCGCCAGCCCTGTCCGGCCTGTCCCTGCTCCACGCACCAAGCCTACGGTGTGCGTCGCCAGCCCTGTCCGGCCTGTCCCTGCTCCACGCACCAAGCCTACGGTGTGCGTCGACAGCCCAGCCCGGCCTGTCCCTGCTCCACGCACCAAACCTACGGTGTGCGTCGCCAGCCCTGTCCGGCCTGTCCCTGCTCCACGCACCAAGCCTACGGTGTGCGTCGTCAGCCCTGCCCGGCCTGTTCCTGCTCCACGCACCAAGCCTACGGTGTGCGTCGCCAGCCCTGTCCGACCTGTCCCTGCTCCACGCACCAAGCCTACGGTGTGCGTCGCCAGCCCTGTCCGGCCTGTCCCTGCTCCACGCACCAAGCCTACGGTGTGCGTCGTCAGCCCAGCCCGGCCTGTCCCTGCTCCACGCACCAAGCCTACGGGGTGCGTCGCCAGCCCTGTCCGGCCTGTCCCTGCTCCACGCACCAAGCCTACGGTGTGCGTCGTCAGCCTGGTCCAGCCCGTTCCTGCCACTCGCACCAAGCCAGGGGTGCGAGTCGTCAGCCTGGTCCAGCCCGTTCCTGCCACTCGCACCAAGCCAGGGGTGCGAGTCGTCAGCCTGGTTCAGCCCGTTCCTGCTACTCGCACCAAGCCCGGGGTGCGAGTCGTCAGCCTGGTAAGACCGGTCAGCTGCTCCACAACGGAGCGTAAGCAATCCGCTCCGTCAATGTCCAGTCCAGATCCAGCCAGCGGGGTCAGACCGGACCAGGGGCGCTACAGGGGAATTATGGAAGGGTGGTGGTCAAGCCCGGAGCCGGAGCCGCCTCCGAGGAGGAATGCCCACCCAGCCCTCCCCTGTTTGGGGTTTTGTTGAGGCGCGGTCGCAGTCCGCGCCTTTGGGGGGGGGGTACTGTCACACTCTGGCTCTGGGGACTTTATATGTTGAGTCAGGGTGTGTAGATTCCGTGTGTTTATGTGCTGTGTTTGAGTGTCTAGTTGTTCTATGTCTATGTTGGCCAGAGTGGCTCCCAATCAGAGGCAACGAGTGTCAGCTGTTGTGGGTTGTCTCTGATTGGGAGCCATATTTAAACTGTATGTTTTCCCTTGGGTGTTGTGGGTTTTTGTTCCGTGTCGGTATTTGTTTACCGTGGACTTCACGAGTCGTGTTTTGTTTGGTATACTTTAACGATTAAAGTCATGTTTGTTTCACACGCTGCGCCTTGGTCTACTCACTCCTACGACGATCGTGACAATAAGACACACACTCTACACACATACACATGGATGTTGGATTGTAAATATTTGATAGTGGAGTAGTGGCCTGAGGGAACACACTAAATTAATTGGGTAAAGTGTTATGAAATGTAATGTCATGTCAGATAACGGGGATCCTTAATAAATACAAATACTGCAAGTTGCAAAGAAAACAGGAACTGCCTCCACTATTCCACTATTCCGCACCATTTCAACTTCAACATCATAAAATCACCTCTGCTTAGTTTAATACAGTGACAACTAAAAGATACCAAAAACAATTTAGTCCAATCAACGTAAGCGAAATATGATGTGGCCCTCCATGGATCTGATTTCTGTGTGCATATTGACTCCAATGCCATGCTCCTCGCTTTCATGTTGACAAAATGGTCTATCACTCTGTCATACAGTACACGCTTTTATTTTTTGTTGTCCTAGGCTACATGGCTAAAATACTTGCTCGCTAGCCTAGCTTCTATTCATGGGCAACGTTAGCTAGTTAACATTAGCCTTCTACATCTACAGTGGGGAGAACAAGTATTTGATACACTGCCGATTTTGCAGGTTTTCCTACTTACAAAGCATGTAGAGGTCGGTAATTTTTATCATAGATACACTTCAACTGTGAGAGACGGAATCTAAAACAAAAATCCATTAATTTGCATTTTATTGCATGACATAAGTATTTGATCACCTACCAACCAGTAAGGATTTCGGCTCTCACAGACCTGTTAGTTTTTCTTTAAGAAGCCCTCCTGTTCTCCACTCATTACCTGTATTAACTGCACCTGTTTGAACTCGTTACCTGTATAAAAGACACCTGTCCACACACTCAATCAAACAGACTCCAACCTCTCCACAATGGCCAAGACCAGAGAGCTGTGTAAGGACATCAGGGATAAAATTGTAGACCTGCACAAGGCTGGGATGTGCTACAGGACAATAGGCAAGCAGCTTGGTGAGAAGGCAACAACTGTTGGCGCAATTATTAGAAAATGGAAGAAGTTCAAGATGACGGTCAATCACCCTCGGTCTGGGGCTCCATGCAAGATCTCACCTCGTGGGGCATCAATGATCAAGAGGAAGGTGAGGGATCAGCCCAGAACTACACGGCAGGACCTGGTCAATGACCTGAAGAGAGCTGGGACCACAGTCTCAAAGAAAACCATTAGTAACACACTACGCCGTCATGGATTAAAATCCTGCAGCGCACGCAACGTCCCCCTGCTCAAGCCAGCGCATGTCCAGGCCCGTCTGAAGTTTGCCAATGACCATCTGGATGATCCAGAGGAGGAATGGGAGAAGGTCATGTGGTCTGATGAGACAAAAATAGAGCTTTCTGGTCTAAACTCCACTCGCCGTGTTTGGAGGAAGAAGAAGGATGAGTACAACCCCAAGAACACCATCCCAACCGTGAAGCATGGAGGTGGAAACGTCATTCTTTGGGGATGCTTTTCTGCAAAGGGGACAGGACGACTGCACCATATTGAGGGGAGGATGGATGGGGCCATGTATCGCGAGATCTTGGCCAACAACCTCCTTCCCTCAGTAAGAGCATTGAAGATGGGTCGTGGCTGGGTCTTCAACATGACAACGACCCGAAACACACAGCCAGGGCAACTAAGGACTGGCTCCGTAAGAAGCATCTCAAGGTCCTGAAGTGGCCTAGCCAGTCTCCAGACCTGAACCCAATAGAAAATCTTTGGAGGGAGCTGAAAGTCCGTATTGCCCAGCGACAGCCCCGAAACCTGAAGGATCTGGAGAAGGTCTGTATGGAGGAGTGGGCCAAAATCCCTGCTGCAGTGTGTGCAAACCTGGTCAAGACCTACAGGAAACGTATGATCTCTGTAATTGCAAACAAAGGTTTCTGTACCAAATATTAAGTTCTGCTTTTCTGATGTATCAAATACTTATGTCATGCAATAAAATGCAATATAATGGATTTTTGTTTTAGATTCCGTCTCTCACAGTTGAAGTGTACCTATGATAAAAATTGCAGACCTCTACATGCTTTGTAAGTAGGAAAACCTGCAATATCGGCAGTGTATCAAATACTTGTTCTCCCCACTGTAGTTATATATTGAACTTCCACCCTCTCAGGCCGGGGCACAACAATGGATGAATTAATGGTTGGATCAGAATCAACGTTATAATTATTGACCAGTATGGAGAATTAAGTAAAACTAATTTTGTATACTTTTTTTGTCAAGGGAGGCCAGATGCTTGCTGGCTTCCCTAGCTTTCAATGCTACGGGCGGCAACAATACTCGTTTGAACCAGACAGCATCTGATAGATGGCCTACACATAGGGAGACAGAGGGGCGCTGTTTCGCTCGCTCAGATGCTTTCTCTTGTGAACGCTCAGGACCTCAGAATGGGGCGAAGTTTCACCTTCCAACAGGACAACGACCCTAAGCACACAGCCACGACAATGCAGGAGTGGCTTTGGGACAAGTCTCTGAATGTCCTTGAGTGACCCAGCCAGAGCCAAAAATATGGAAAAAGTCGATGGATCTGAATACTTTCCGAATGTACTGTAGGTCTGTCTCACTAGTGTCTTATTCATCATTTTAGGCAATGTTGGAATGATGCATTTCTTTGTTTTGCTTACTTTGTGAATTATAATTAGCTCATGTGCTTTTCTCCACGAGGAGGGGATACTATAATGTTGTTGGGTCTTTAACCATGTTTGCCAGTGAAACTTAAGTAACAGACCCATGTAATTCCAGTTGATATTGCAAGGGTTGTTTTGTTTATGCAATGTGCTGTCTGTGCATCGGTATAGGCCTATTTTCTATAAAAGTGGATCCTCTTGATTGTATTTTCCTTCCCTTTTAGACCACATAGGCCTAATAAAATACTTCAAATGGTAGGCTAACTGTCTCTCTCTCTCTCTCTCTCTCTCTCTCTCTCTCTCTCTCTCTCTCTCTCTCTCTCTCTCTCTCTCTCTCTCTCTCTCTCTCTGTGGTGACTTAAAGAAGAGTAAAGTTAATGCCTCAACATCTTGCTGAATCTTTCTGAATTTCTATCCATTTTGAAAGTGCTGAACGAAGGCCTACCTCGTAGAAGCTCGTTTGCTTGCACTTGCTTATACTTAGAGCGTAGTGTTAATGATATAAGAACAAACATTATGAATCTACTGAACATAAATGTAATAATGTTTGTGTATGGTTCAAAAGTCAAAACCGATGTCGGCATTAGTTATTATTGAAGGAGAATGCGGTTTTTATCGAGTTACACAAATCCACAAGGAGTCAGTAGAAACCCTACTTATTTAAGCAAGTCAGCCACGCGCAACTCCATCTCAATCATCAAGTTTGCAGACAACACAACAGTCCTAGGCCTGATTAACAACGACGAGACAGCCTACAGGGAGGAGGTGAGGGCCCTGGCGGAGTGGTGCCAGGATAATAACCTCTCCCTCAACGTCAACAAAACGAAGGAGCTGATCGTGGACTTCAGGAAACAGCAGAGGGAGCACTCCCCTATCCACATCGACGGGACCGCAGTGGAGAAGGTGAAAAGCTTCAAGATAGATACTACTGCACTGTTGGAGCTAGGAACACAAGCATTTCGCTATAACATCTGCTAAATGTACGTATGTGACCAATACAATTTGATTTGATTTGATATCAGATGTTGTTTTTAAAAAGGCAGTAAATGAGGCTGAATGAACTTTTTCGCCGCCAGATGAGGCTCCGCTGATAGCCAGGTGTAGCGGTGGTAAGTATTCATTCCATGATGCTGAAAAGACAGATTTATTTAGGCCCTAACAGTTTGTGGGCACCGTTTGTCACCGTTATAGTGCAATTAATGTATTGTTTTGTGTTGTGTTGTGTAGTGGCTTTGCTGGCATGCATTTTTTTTTTAATGTTGAGTTTGCCCCACCAAGATTGACATGCTAAAATCAACACTGAGACTAACACATTAATTGTTTGACATTTGAGAGTCAATATTTCTAACATGGAACTTCAAACCAGTAGGGATAATAATGAAGTGGTTTGTGACACACAAGAGCAGCCGCTCACCGATATGTCAGCTCATACCACAGTTCCACCTTCAACCCCGCCAAAACATCTGCTATGCAGATGTCGGCCAACAGTGGTTAACACTGGTTAACGCTCGATCTGATTGAATCCAGGCCTTAATCTGTTTCCAGGAAACCTGCCCACAATGTTTTTAACTCATTTCTTTCCAAAAATGCACCTGTCACACACCACCCCCCAATTGGAGAACCTGGACTGGTTACTGATGAGGGAGGGGTCTTCTGGGTTGCGTCCCCCCAGGAGAGAATCTGTGCAGACGTCACACTCAGTCTGCCCTGTGGCAAAGTTCCAGTATGGAACAGCAAAGTTCTCATTGCCAGTCAGTCTCTGCAGAATTGAGGAAAGGTTTACTTTTATTCTCATCAATGTTTGAAGCTGATTTTCATGTCTTTCTCGTCATCATTTAAACCCACTCTTACCTGCAGGTCTCTCTCCAGACTGAGGAGGTGGTATCTGTGCCAGGTGACGAACGCTGGTCCTTTGTGGGAAAAGTCAATGGCCTTGAAAGGATGACCTGGACCTAGAGAGAAACACAAGGTTTTTCATGAGCAACTTCTGAATGTTCTCTTCTGCTATCTATACAGTACATGGAGATTGGAGAGTATTATATAACTTATAACTAGTAAATAAGTAACACAGCAAGTGAGTAATTTATAACATTTGGCTTTCATTTTCATTCATGTTCCAACCAAGAAGGGATTAGTTTGAAGGTTGAATGTAATTGAATATACACTGAGTATATCAAACATTAAGAACACCTGCTCTTTCCATGACATAGACTGACCAGGTGAATCCAGGTGAAAGCTATGATCCCTTATGGATGTCACTTGTTAAATCCACTTCAATCAGTGTAGATGAAGGGGAGGAGACAGGTTAAAAACATATTTTAATAAGACTTGAGACAATTGAGACATGGATTGTGTATGTGTGCCATTCAGAGGGTGAATGGGTAAGACAATATATTTAAGTGCCTTTGAACAGGGTATGGTAGTAGGTGCCAGGCGCATTGTTTTATGTCAAGAACTGCAACACTGCTATATATTGAAATATATTGAAATTATTTATTTAATCTATAAACGTATGAAATTAGAAAATAATCAATGGGTGTTTTACCTAAAAGTGTGTCTCTGACAGAATAGTAATGTTGCCACACAAAGAAGTCGTAGATGGAGATGTTGGAGAACTGGGGCTGGGTTCCATTGGGCCCCAGCAGGCCCAGCCAGTGCTGTGTGGCGATTACATAGTCTGGGTGGGTGGTGTTCTTGGCCCGGTCCAACACATCCAGGAACTCCTGAAGCTCCGCTGGAGTCAGAGAGTGGATGTTCTTCCTCACCACCGGGGCTTTACGCACGTCACAGTTTGGTCCTGTCCAGCCAAACTTACACTGGCCACAGTCGAAGCCACCAAAGTTACCTAGACACATAAAGGGAATATAGATAATGTAAATCAAGTATATGGGAACAGTCAAACATGTGGACCATTCCATATACTTATGGGAACAGTCCAATTATCACAATTCCCAATTATCACAATTCCCACTTAAAGGGAAACTCCGCCACTTTCAACTTCATATTCATTATCTCCAGCACCAAACTAGTGTCTAAATACTGTATGTGAAAATGGCATATTTCTATGTTTTGTATAAAAAATATTACGTTAAAAAGTTCTACCTGATGATGTCATCAACATTTTAAAAACAGTGATTTTCAAACACTATGAGATTCACGGTGATGTGGGGAGCAAGAAAATACCCTCCCTCTGGCTGGAAACTCATTGCAGGTTTTGAAAATCCCTGTTTTTCTTACTTTTAATCCTACAATGGGATGTCACAGAGAAGCACCTCTCTTCTCATCCTTTTAACCACAGATCATAAAAACGTGCCGTTTTGACATATGTAGACACTGGTTTGGTGCTGGAGATAATCAATATGAGGATGAAAAAGTGGGCAAGTTGCCCTTTAGCAATTTTCAATTGTTATTTTAGGTTTTAATGTGATCCAAACAAAAACCTATATTATGTAATAGTGAACACTGATTTACTGAAAACAGTAAATCATTTATTTAACACTTAAAGCCGCAATCAGCAGTTGAAACAGTTGCCCCTGATTCGATAAAAATCTGAGGGATTGGGCTGGAGAAATGTAACCACTCTCAAGTACTTAGACAGAGCTTAATCATGTTTTTAGTCTATAGTGTTTGTTTATGTTCACTTTATATACAAACATTGGAGTAAAACAAGATTACAGTCCCCTGTAGCTCAGTTGGTAGAGCATGGCGCTTGCAATGGCAGGGTTGTGGGTTCGTTTCCCACGGGGGGCCAGTATGAAAAATGTATGCACTCACTAACTGTAAGTCTGCTAAATGACTAAAATGTAAAATGTAAATATTTTGGGTTCTGATGGGGTACAACAGTTTAAATAAGCTCATGAGGCATTTATAAGTTATTTTCTCCAAGAATCAATGGCTACATATCATTAATTCACAAGTCCAAAAATGGATGTAGCAACAGCACCCCTTTAAATGTAACACTTCATTTTACTTTTACTTACCAGAGCACCTGCATGTCCTATTGAAGAATTTGGTAGGCCACCTTTCTCGATCATCAACATTTCTCAACCTATATGGTCCACCCCAGGGTTTGGTACTGACTCTGATGTCGGAGCAGTTTCCTCGTCCAGATAAAGTTCCACACACATTAGCAGGATCAGAAATGAGAGCAGGGCAGCACTGCTTTGAGACGATCCCCTCCACCGTGCTACAGAATCGAGGAAACTGAGCCTCTGTAGAGTCAGGAAATGTCACAAAACAAACCAACCCTAGCACCAGCGCCTTGATCATCTTCAACACTCTGGTCCTCTTCTGGCCACTCACAAATCAGTTTGTACACCAGTTCACAGCAATTACGTACTCAATTATTTTCTCCAAAAGGGTATGGAATCACATTTGTAACGCTCCTCAGTTGTTTATTCAGCATTTGGCTAGAGTCATAAATGTAATTTATGAAGGACAGCCTGAGAGAAAGTAGACCGTGATCCGGTCAGTCTCATGAATGTTACAAAAGCCTCCAATGTATGTGCCCTCTATAAGTAGGGTCAGAAAGGATTAAGACCATGGTCTCGTGGTAACCACCTGACACCAAAGGACTATGAGCTGGGCTCATACCAGTGAAACGCCTCAGGCCAAAATACATGGGGCGTTGGTTAGTCAACAGTTATGGTATCTACAGGTCCATATACTGTGAAACTCACAATATTAGTCCCATGAATAATCAAAAAAGAGTTTACACAATTTACACAACAGATATTTAGAAGTTCAACACATGCACATTCCATGCTTCAGCAAAAACACATAAACACCTGACCTGCAGAAAATGTGTCATGTTCGCCTTTACATGTGTACTAAATCCTAAATGCACCCATTTCCTATACATTTGGAGAGCAAGTGATGCCCATCAATGATATTCTCATTCGAAAGGCTAATGTGGACTGGCAGACAACATTTTTGCCTTGTTAAAAAAGCTGAAATCAGATCACTTTTGCAAGTCTGATAACCTACTAACTATAATCCAGTCATCAGTTCTGCTTAGTGTCATTTCTAATTGATGAAGTTGTTTTTGCCAGATATGAACTGTACAGTAGGCTAATTGATATGAAATAGGGATAACAAACAGATAGGATTTTTGGTTTCCTACTCTTGTCCGTTTTTATCGCATGACATATCATACATATAACCTTAAATTGTTTAAATCATGATCGCCTAGTCCTACAAAACATGGCTCACATAGTTCATGCAAAGAAATCTTAATCTGAACACAAAAACTAAAGAGACTACCGAAAGTTATGTTTACTACAACTCTGCATAGGGAAAAAATTATTAAAATACCTTGATCGTATTGCGCTCATTTTGGCATATGAAGGCCATGTGGATTTAGAACGTGCGGGCTGAAATGTTATACTTTGACCAATCATTTCCCTTTTCTCTGGTGTAATCTGAACTATGTTCAGACGTTTCAGTCTAATGCCGTACTTCTGGTGTATTACTGTACTAAATCTCCTTTCCTTTAACGTATTTCAACAAGTCCTCGGGTCATGAGATATTTATCCTCTGATCTTTTAGTACAGAGCATGTTGAAAGGGTCACCCTTGTGCCAACCACAACCTAACTCTTAAACTTAGACTGTTAACGTAGGCTACTCTTGTAGGGTTGTTTCTATGGACTGGGAGAGTTAAATTACATGTTTGCCTTAAGCAACATCATGAACAAGTAGGCTATAGTGTATAATGTAGTACTAAGAATTATTTGCTATGCTGGGAAAAAGTCATCAAATGAGAACCAAACATTCTTTGTTCTGTGTGAGGAGCTCCAAACACATCAATGAAGGTGAATGATGCATGGCACACCAGTGCAGAAATGTCTGATGTCATATGCTTTGTGCCTGTGTGATTAGCTAGATTTCCCCTTCCCCCTCTTACCTATGGCCTGGCATGTGACTGTTGAGTGGAAAGTGAAAAGTCACATTGCATATCATACTGTTCATGAATACCTACATATACTGCTAGTGAGGGCATGAGATAATTTTTTACAATTCCCTTTGTGTGACCATACCTCTTAGATAGGGTTAGATTTTAAAAGTCCCCTATTTAGGGGACTGTGAGCTGTTCTGGACCGGTTCTGACTGACATTTTGGTGTACAAAGTGTTCTGTGAATGTGGCAGGGTCCAGTGCCTTATAGTGCCAGAAAGCCCCATCTATCTGCTTTCCACTACAACTCTGCCAGCGGAGCTGACTTGAAGTCTCAGGTTTCAGACCCACATTTGCATAGGGAGTGAGTGTCACATTTTCTGACCTATCTAGACAAAGAATAGTTTTTATTTTTATATTTTTATAGTATTTGTACTATGTACTTGAGCTTGTGTACTAAAAAGTGACTACACCACAGCAATTTATAACTATTTTACCAGAAAGGTGAGATCTAGACCTTTCTAGAAGTATGCAGCATTAGTAGTTATTCGTTATGGCCATCTCATGAAAAATTATTACTTTTGGGTATGTCTATTTGCAGGTTGGCATTTATTGTCATGAATCTTGACCCGGAGGCAGCTCTACAGAGTGGTCACTAACTATCACGGGCACAAAGTTATAAAATCTGATTTTAAACCTAACCCTAACCTTAACCACACTGCTAACCCTAATGCCTAACCCTAACCTTAAATTAAGACCAAAAAGTAAATGTTTGTTTTTATAAATCTTTACGATATAGCCCATTTTGACTTTGCAGTTGGCCCGTCTGGCGGAAATCGCTTAGTTCTGCCTCCATAGCAAGATTCATGACAGTAAACAGAAACTTGCTGTCTATTTAGGCGGAAATATACATTATGACATAACATTCAAGAGGTATGTAAATTCTACACATTCCTAGAGGTTACCAAACATTTTGCTTCGTGACCTACCAATTTAGGTGTCTATTGAGTCACGACCCACCAGGGTTAAGCAGTGAAAAAACATACCCAGACCAAAATAATAAGTTAATAATTTATTAATAAAACCTTCTTCTTCAAAACATTTAACTGAATGCGGATTTGAGTAGGGGCTCTTGTGACCAATTCAAAAAAATAGACTGTATAATAATGAAATTATTTGTAAGTACAAAAAATGTCACCATCTGTCGCGTCCAACAAGTGGGTCCCAACACACAGTATGGGAACCACTGCCTTATACAACGGGTACTATGAGGGTCACTGCACTTAACAGGATTAGCCAGAAGGATTACTGGAAAAAGCCAAATGGAATGTGTTTGTAGAAATTATAAAGAAGAAGTGAATTGAGTAAACCATGGAGTTATTGTATAATTCAAGTAAAACTTAATGCACACAATTGAATTGAAAACAAAGGATAGGAAACATAATTGGAATCAGAATCAAAGGGTGTACAAATATTTATTCTCAAACATAGGCTACATTTTTGTCCAAGACATAGGATCAAACATTACAGAGCAGGAACTGAAAATGGGCTCTCAAAAAATGAGTAAATATTCAGTAAATGTTCATTATTCTGTGTGGGTTCATCCCTTGTGTTGTTCTGATCGGCTGAATATAAATATTACAGTACTCGAACATTCTACCCTAAGTACTTTCTTGAGCTACAGTATGTTTCAATTGATCCTATAAGTATGACCATTTATTAGATGAATATGAACATTGCATACAAGTTTAATCAGAAACTGTAGGCTTTCTTTTAGTTACTGTTAGACTTTAGTTCAAGAAAAGTTCAAGAGTTGTATATGTACTTTCTATTGTATTGTATTAAGGGTTCAAAGCCACGCTTTCTTCGTCGGTGCAGCATGTAAACCATGACTACCATGAGAATATCCCAATTGGTCAGAAGCCACGTAAATCTCTTCATTGGTCACAGGAGGGAAGAATGGCACCATTGTCACGACTTCCGCCAAGGCTGCCTCCCCTCCTTGTTCGGGCAGGTTTTGGCGTTCATCGTCACCGGCTTACTAGCTGCTGCCGATCCATTTATCATCACTCCACTTGTCTAATTTATCACACACACCTGGTCCTTATCCACAATTAGTCATTATATAAGTGTTCCCCCTGCTTCCTTGTCTGTGTGGGTGATTGTTTGTTGTGAGCTGTGTGTAGCTCGGTTGAGCTACCCTTACCTTGTTGTTGCCAGGGTAGTATTTTCCCCTGTGCCTGAGTTTTGTTGTCGCATGTTTGCGCAACTGTTTATCGATGGAATAAACTCTTTGGATGCGTATTACTCTCCTGCGCCTGACTCCTTCTATCACATGCATCACAACCATGTTGTATTCTCTGTTGTGACCAATGGGGGCCATCTCATAGGGGAAACTGGAGTTTGGTGGAACAGACTTCCTCATCCACTCATCAAAAATGGCATCAGTGAACGCATGGAGAACCTATACAAATAAGTGTCTTAGTTATACAAACTAAGCAAATACATATTTCTAGTATTATGAAATTTACTTGTTTTGTTTTATTTAATTAAAATGTTTCTTATTTATTTTATTTTTCATTACTAGAAAGATGGGGTCATTGGCTGCAAAGTGAGACAGAGCACTGGTTCCATTGAGGAAGGAGTGGACTGGGTTGTGCAGGTTGTTCACTGAGGTGTCAAGTTCTGCCTCGCCATCTGGTTTGTCATAGCCTTCAAGAGAATTCCTGTTAATAACAGATTATATTTTATGGTTAGGGTACACACATAACACTTTTGCCCAGAGAAAAAGTGAGTTATCAAAGGAAAATTACCTGAAGCTGAAGGTAGAGTTTGTGTAGTAGGGAGCACTGTCAAAGTCTCTGAGTCTCAGACAGCTCCTGACGTCATTCATGGTGGGAAGACTCATGTTGCTCCTCCCTACCTGACCTGTCCTTATACGTCCGTGGTCCTCTGTAGCGCAATTGGTAGAGCATGGCGCTTGTAACGCCAGGGTAGTGGGTTCGATCCCCGGGACCACCCATACGTATAAATGTATGCACACATGACTGTAAGTCACTTTGGATAAAAGCGTCTGCTAAATGGCATAATATTATTACACAAAGTGGCCAGGCGGTTATATTCATCCATGCTGGGAGAGAAGACAGATGTTATTTAATTATGAACAGAGATGCTATCCCCTGTACACATAAGTGCAGGTACGCACTTGTGTGCATGCGCGCACACACACAAACACACACGCTCCTGTGCATGCATGTGCACACAAGTACACACAGTCAAATAAACTCATTTTGATCAACACACCAAAATAGGAATGTTACAGCGACCATCAAAATACTCATTCACTTATGTAATCAGCTTAGCCACATACACTCAGCATTGTGACATAAATTGCTCCAGACCTGTTACACACCACCCCCCAATTGGAGAACCTGGACTGGTTACTCAGTCTGCCCTGTGGCAAAGTTCCAGTATGGAACAGCAAAGTTCTCATTGCCAGTCAGTTTCTGTAGAAGAGAGGTCATTCTACTATACACATTCTGTAGACATTTCCCATTAATGTACATACTCATGAGAAAAATAAGGCCACAAAGAAATGACCTCCTCACTCTTACCTGCAGGTCTCTCTCCAGACTGAGTAGGTGGTATCTGTGCCAGGTTATAAAGGCAGGTCCTTTGTGGGAGAAATCAATGTGTTTGAAAGGACGTCCAGGTCCTAGAAAATATTTAACATACTGGTCATAGAAATGTAATAGATATTCAGTTTTTTAACATTGTGCACATGTAAATGGTCATCAATATACTTTCTTGTTTGTTTGATTGTTTGTGTGATACATCACATTTACCAAGGAGAATTTCTCTGACGGAGTAGTAATGCTGCCACGTAAAGAAGTCGTAGATGGAGATGTTGGAGAACTGGGGCTGGGTTCCATTGGGCCCCAGCAGGCCCAGCCAGTGCTGTGTGGCGATTACATAGTCTGGGTGGGTGGTGTTCTTGGCCCGGTCCAACACATCCAGGAACTCCTGAAGCTCCGCTGGATTCAGAGAGTGGATGTTCTTCCTCACCACCGGGGCTTTACGCACGTCACAGTTTGGTCCTGTCCAGCCAAACTTACACTGGCCACAGTCAAAGCCACCAAAGTTACCTAGACACATAAAGGGAATATAGATCATAGGTATACGGTACAACATACTAATAAGCTGTTTACATTTCATTTTAACCTAAAGTTACAGTGGGGAGAACAGGTATTTGATACACTATCGATTTTGCAGGTTTTCCTACTTACAAAGCATGTAGAGGTCTGTAATTTTTATCATAGGTACACTTCAACTGTGAGAGACGGAATCTAAAACAAAAATCCAGAAAATCATATTGTATGATTTTTAAGTAATTAATTTGCATTTTATTGCATGACATAAGTATTTGATACATCAGAAAAGCAGAACTTAATATTTGGTACAAAAACCTTTGTTTGCAATTACAGAGATCATACGTTTCCTGTAGGTCTTGACCAGGTTTGCACACACTGCAGCAGGGATTTTGGCCCAATCCTCCATACAGACCTTCTTCAGATCCTTCAGGTTTCGGGGCTGTCGCTGGGCAATACGGACTTTCAGCTCCCTCCAAAGATTTTCTGGCTAGGCCACTCCAGGACCTTGAGATGCTTCTTACGGAGCCACTCCTTAGTTGCCCTGGCTGTGTGTTTCGGGTCGTTGTCATGCTGGAAGACCCAGCCACGACCCATCTTCAATGCTCTTACTGAGGGAAGGAGGTTGTTGGCCAAGATCTCGCGATACATGGCCCCATCCATCCTCCCCTCAATACGGTACAGTCGTCCTGTCCCCTTTGCAGAAAAGCATCCCCAAAGAATGATGTTTCCACCTCCATGCTTCATGGTTGGGATGGTGTTCTTGGGGTTGTACTCATCCTTCTTCTTCCTCCAAACATGGCAAGTGGAGTTTAAATCAAAAATCTCTATTTTTGGCTCATCAGACCACATGACCTTCTCCCATTCCTCCTCTGCATCATCCAGATGGTCATTGGCAAACTTCAGACGGGCCTGGACATGCGCTGGCTTGAGCAGGGGGACCTTGCGTGCGCTGCAGGATTTTTATCCATGACGGCGTAGTGTGTTACTAATGGTTTTCTTTGAGACTGTGGTCCCAGCTCTCTTCAGGTCATTGACCAGGTCCTGCCGTGTAGTTCTGGGCTGATCCCTCACCTTCCTCATGATCATTGATGCCCCACGAGGTGAGATCTTGCATGGAGCCCCAGACCGAGGGTGATTGACCATCATCTTGAACTTCTTCCATTTTCTAATAATTGCGCCAACAGTTGTTGCCTTCTCACCAAGATGCTTGCCTATTGTCCTGTAGCACATCCCAGCCTTGTGCAGGTCTACAATTTTATCCCTGATGTCCTTACACAGCTCTCTGGTCTTGGCCATTGTGGAGAGGTTGGAGTCTGTTTGATTGAGTGTGTGGACAGGTGTCTTCTATACAGGTAACGAGTTCAAACAGGTGCAGTTAATACAGGTAATGAGTGGAGAACAAGAGGGCTTCTTAAAGAAAAACTAACAGGTCTGTGAGAGCCGGAATTCTTACTGGTTGGTAGGTGATCAAATACTTATGTCATGCAATAAAATGCAAATGTGATTTTCTGGATTTTTGTTTTAGATTCCGTCTCTCACAGTTGAAGTGTACCTATGATAAAAATTACAGACCTCTACATGCTTTGTAAGTAGGAAAACCTGCAAAATCGGCAGTGTATCAAATACTTGTTCTCCCCACAGATCCCTTAGAGGAAGTGTGCAGTTTAATATTTTAATATTATAATTTCATCACTTACCGAAGCACCTGCAAGTTTGATTACAAAAATTGTTGGCCACATTTCACGGTCATCTCGGTTTCTCATTCGATATGGTCCACCCCAGGGTTTGGTACTGACTCTGATGTCGGAGCAGTTTCCTCGTCCAGATAAAGTTCCACACACATTAGCAGGATCAGAAACGAGAGCAGGGCAGCACTGCTTTGAGACGATCCCCTCCACCGTGCTACAGACTCATCATCTTTCACACAGCTGTAATCTTCTGCCTTCTCCCTAAAAATTAATTTGTACACCAGTTCACAGCAATGATGTGGTCAATAAGTTCCAATAAAACACAGCGATGGAACTAATTACATTTCATGGTTTTGTCTTTCCCATTTAGAAAAAAAAGATATATTTCAAGGTCCACTTCGTAATTTCCAACGCATTCAGCACAATAACAGATAGCATTGACAGTGGGTTGCAGGCCTACAGTAAATTCAACCGTTCTTTCCAGAAATAACGAACTAAGATTTCTGGGGACAAGTGATAAAAATACCCACCCTGTGTCTTTTAAGATCCCAGATAACAATGATGTCAGTATGTTTGCACAATGCCTTCCCTCAGTTAAAGATCCCGTGGTAGCAGATGATAAAAAAATAAAAAAGTATTGGCCCTCCAGGCAATTGATCATGTGACAAGATAAGCCTGAGTTTTTCTCATACAGTTCATCTGATGCCCATTCCCAACCACAGAAGTACCACAGTAACTGTAACTATTTGACATTATTCACACCACTTTCAACTCTACCATTGTTTTCTAAAACTGACCTCTGGCAGAATGTATGAACTTCAACTTTGGTGCTTTTAATGCAAAAAGGCATAGTTCAGTAGGTGTTTCATCTCCACAGTCATAAACTAACCTTTCATGTACTCTACTACAGTATGTGACTATAGTCACACTGGTATCATCTGATAGACCCCTAAGGACCTCTTTCAAATCATGTGTTCAACTGAATGTTGCCCAAACTTCAATGAATACGCACTTTTCAACAAAACAAAACAACTTTAGAATTTGTGCAAATGCTTCTCATCATGTACTTTTTCAAGCAGTGCATAAGTCATATTATACCAGTTTCCTTCCATCTAGAAGTACAGTTTCAAGATATTTCCCCCCACAAACAATCACATTTTCTTGGACAAAAAATCCTTATGGTTTACCATTCATTTCAATAGATCTTTAGACCACTTTGAATTTATTACATTATATCCTAAATCAAGCTTTTACATATCATAAAATGGGAAATGTGTCATATAGAACCCCAAAGCCTCCATTGAAACACATGGTGGTGCTAGAGAGCCATTTTTGAAATACAATGGCGGCAAGTGTACTGGAAAATAAGTATTTATAGGGTATGTACACAGTTGAATAAGTGACTTCTTATGTTCAGCTTGTCACTGTAGTCCAGCACTCCAATGTTACAAGGTACAATTTCTTCCTGTTATAGCTTTAGAAAGTACCAGCATAACGAGGTAAATGGGTTGTAGCTGGGTCGTTCCACGAAATGAGTGCCTTTTGCGTCCCTTTGATATTTTAAATAGAAATTGTGCACAAATAAATACTTTTTAAAGCCTGTTATATTAAGTTCCCTTTAATATAGACCACATGGAAAATGCAATAAATCAGCATTTTGATATGTCCCTCTGTGCATCCTCTGTGACTTCTAGGGAGATTTGAACCCATTTAACCCCAAAATGTGGACACATTTTCACCATCATTGTAAAGCCCTAGTTAATTTGTTGCTTTGACTAAGTAATTTCTAAAGATTATTCTTGATTTCATGTGATTAATGATTTTAAAAAATAAATAAAGCCTGTCCCTCATTTTAAGTTCAACCATGTTACGTGAACGGAACTGAACTCTAGTTTTAATAAGGTGATACTATTCCATTTTACATGTTTTTTTTTTCAAAACAAACATTGAACATCTAATAGTCAAATCATAGTGTAAAAGCAGGTGAGCTGGTTATACTCTTTTTTTCTAGGTACTGGTTTTGTGGTGGAAACTGAACGGGTCGAGCATAACACGTCAACCCTGTTACCCACAGATAGACAGGCTAGAAATGTGTTCACAATTACATTTTTTTGTGAAGCTTGCTTTCAATTGCCCCTCCCTGTTGCACACAACAAGCTTCCATTCCCCCTGTCACAAGGGGATTTATGGCTGATTTAAGATGAAATAGTCAACACTGTTACAGTCAACCCTGTTACTTTCTTCGGCACTTAATAGGCACCTACTATAGCCCCTTTTTTTAATTTAACCTCTTGAGATGGGAAATGTTTTTTATTAAGTTGAACATGTGCTCTTTATGACAGAATGTTAAAATTAGATGAAATAAACGTTTTTTTCACCAAGTTAAACTACTCAAAAGGCACCTAATTGGTGGAACGACCCAGCTATTCAGACGTGTAATCTGTTAGTTTATTCCTGAGGTTTGGCACCTACTAATACCTAATCTGTCCCTGATATCGTGAAGTTACACTAAATTCTAAGAAAACACAGGAAATACTCAGAAATAGGCACTAGTCTTTTGGGGGCACTAAGCGAGATTTGGTTGGTCCCCTGGAGCTTGCCCTGCATATTAGTATAAACGTGACATCAGTCAAAACACCTCAATACAAAACATGGTATCAAGAACAAGATAAAACTAGCTGAAACGAGCCACCAACGATTCCCCATATGGCAGCTTCTTGTCATTGTTTCCAGCTATCTGGCCATCCAGAATCACAACAACACATGGCCTTCTGCCCCATTAAGCGCGCGCATCATTTTTGTGACGTTGTTAGCTAACCTGTCTGTTGTGCCCGGTAATGCTTTTATCCCCTCCATTTGTTTCACCTCATCCCCATTATCATTTAAATTAATGTAATATCAACCTTTGATTTTGCACTGAGTGGTTGAACACTGTATGAGAACAATTTGAGCGCTGTTGATTTTTGAGCTGCTAATTGCACCAGTGTGGAATATGCATGCAGTGTTGTGCTCTTTTGTTTTGGTTTGAGAGACAATATTGCCCGGTTGTGTTGAAAGTCCTACCCGTATCAGCCCCAATAGAAGTGGCATTGTTCTAAAATGGAAAGTTCCAAATGAAAGGCCAGCATTACATAAAGGGAAAGTGCTGCTCAGCCTTTGAAGTGCTGCAAATGAAAATTCTCCTTTAATAGCATTTCAAAGAGACATCACAGAAGGAGGTGATGCTTCATTTGTGAAATGATCTACTTGTTACCATGTTGATGGCAAAATGCATCCATTTCCTTAATGGATAGGTGAATATTCTGTTCAGTGTGTTGTGCTCTGTACAGAATTGGAGGAATATAATGTGTTGGTTGGAAGAAAGAGGGCCTTTTCTAATTGTAATCGAGAGTACTTCAGTTTCATTCACTGAGAACCGAGCTCAGTGGTCTGAAAATAGGAAGAACTGGTTGGAGGAGCAGCTGAATCACCTGATTTAAACCAGCACTGTAACCCACACTCACAGCACCTCAGTCTAATTGATAGAAAGGCATCTTTTGTCCTCTCAGATCGCGATTGACACGCCTGCTGAGGCAATCACACACTGTTAAAAGTGAACGGGACTGGAGTATGGTGGATGCTTGCACTCTTATTCATGGCTGACCAAGAAAGACCTTACCTTGTTTATTTTGTGGTGTTGCGTATGAAAGCCATTCAGATTCAATGTGTTCTATCAGCTGAAAGGATGCTTTGACATCTACTTATAGCAGAGATACAGTGTAAACCCAATTACCCATGCTAGTGTTAGAAACCTTCATTTAGAATCATAGAAGGTATAGTACAAATGTAAATATGAGGTTACAGGTGTGGCCCGATTTCTACTTTTGGGTTCTATTTCATGATAGTTCATGCCTTCTTCACCAGCTCTGTATATAGGCACCTTTCTATATAGGTCATCACCTGTTGAATTGCTTTACATTTACAATGTATTATAGGAACTTCTAGAGAGAGAGAGCGAGAGAGAGATGCAGTATGTTGAAATGACATCAGGGGGGCAGTATTGTTTTGTATTGTTCAGGGGCATGATTGACCAAGCCATCTACATTGCCTTCATGATGCTTTCCCAAACACACCATGAAATAGTCTAGGTATGGAAAGATTTGTACATTATTAACTGCCACCATTTAAAATTCCAACCATTCCAGGTTTTACGGTGGTCTGGGTGGTGTAGCCTATAGATGTAAGCCTATTGAGTGTCCCAGTATACTGTCTTAATCCTCTTTAAGACTTCTATATCCACCTTCAAACTAATAACTAGAGGCAACTTATCCTCACGAACTAGTTTACTAACTTCTCTCACAAACTGGCCTAATTAGTCACTGGAAAATAAGATTAATTGTTGCTGTGAAATAATGCTTCAGGTCAATTATTTAGAAGATTCCCATGATGTTATCTTCAAATTGTAAAGCCAATTCAAGGACAAGCAGCATGAAAAACATTGTTGTTAGATAAATTGCCATTAAAGGTCAACATGCGTTGAAAGTAATCGAGATGCTATCCATGATCATCAACATAAGGTTTATATGGGCAACCTACAGTACAGTACAACCAACGCTCATTACATGCATTTAAAGGGCCCTGGCCTAATTACTAATCTCTTTCCTTGTACCATTAGAAATGGAAATTAGAAGTACAAAAAAGACCTTGGGCACTTTTCAATCAGAATACATTAAAGTTGCATTATAGAGGGATAAAAAGAGCGTTGAGTGTTTAAAGTGCTCGGCTGTTCCATGCTCTTCTCACAAATCCTGTCAAGAGCTATAATGCATTATCCTCTTTAAGTGAGCATTTCCAGTGAGCACCGTCCGACACCGACGTCCATGGATGTTGAAAAGACATTGAAATTTGATTTGGCCCAAACATAGAGGTCTAAGATGACTCCTATGTCTTTGTCATTACACTTTTTTGTATACCCATTACCCAATCAGGACCAACGTTGATGACTATTGACTACTGAATATAAGCTTGCATTAGTACCGTCCGACACCGACGTCCATGGACGTTGAAAAGAAATTGAAATTTGATTTTGCCCAAACATAGAGGTCTAAGATGACTCATATGACTTTGTAATTAAACACTTTTGTATACCTATTACCCAACCAGGACCAACATTGATGACTATTGACTACTGAATATAGGCTTACATTACCAAATCTGAACCAAGCATCCGTGTTTCACAAGTTTGGACAGCACAGTACAACACAGTAGAGCACAGCAGAGTACAGTACATTAAAGTAGAGTATAGTCTATTTCAGTACAGTACAATAGCGTAGAGTACAGCACAGTAGAGCACAGTAGAGTAAAGTACAGTATAATGTACTATATTGTACTGGACCCTACTGTACTTTACTGTACTTTACTGTACTGTTTTCCACTGTCCTGTACTGAACTTAACTCTACTGTGCTTCACTGTACTGTACTGTGCTGTTCAAACTTGTGATACACAGATGTCCGGTCAGCT